GTTTTTGGGGTTGAAAAGTAATGCCCCACTTACGACTTTAACTTTTCTCTCTTTCTCCTGCCCTTTGTTTCCCCTCTCCTTGCCTGAAATTTCTCCTCACTTGCTAGAAATTTAGTAGGCTTCATTTTGGTGTAGAGATTTTTTAGGAAACTACTCATTATTTTCAAAGCACATGCTCAGAAAGGTAGGTGGGTAATGGAACAAGATTTTCGTGCAGATTTTCATGTCACAGTTACATGGCTTTTTGGCTATTTCTCCAATCTCCTTCACTCAATTGCACTTATTCTGGTATCATTTGTAAGATATTTTCAACCTGTTCAAGTATGTACTCAAAGTCATGCTGCAGGGTTAAAAGTGATGACGTCACAAGGCATAGAAAGGGTGTGGGTCCCCATGGGCGCATACGGCCACACTGGACGTCAATAGGTTAATCAGTTAATATTTAATCAAAGCAAAAATTTCAATAATTCAAGCGGTTTAGAAAGCGTCTAACTTTCAGTGTTGCTGTCTACCATATATAATACATAGTCAGATTACTTCTGGCTCCTTTTTGGCACAGACAAGTTTGACTCCCAGTTAATAGAACACTTTATCAAAGGCATGATCACAAATTATCGCAGAACAGTTTTTATTATCAATGAACAGAACAACATGCATAACATGTTAATCCATTTTTCACAAAAGAAGTCAGGGGCAAAATGAAAAAGCCGTACATATTGCAACTGACTATGTGTGGAGAGCTGAAATTTTCAGGAAGTCAACAAAAAATTGACTGGATATTAACTGGTACAATTAAAAATAGAGTTGCTAGTCTGGCCATGAGAGCCATCGGGAAAGGTAATCTGTAGTGAATCGTGTCGCTTTGAAAGTGAAAGGTTTTTATTTTTTCCAACACTTACAGGAAAGCTTTGGGATTGTGGAAAAGCTACATTTTTAAATCTCTCTCTGAAAGTTAAAACTTCCACACCACGTGACTGTGTGTGTTGCTATTTTTAGCAGTGAGCTTGTGTTATTTTTCAAAATGGCAAATGTGCTTTTTTGGATATTTTAAAACCGCTTAGAACTTTCATTTGAAAGCATCAAAGTAAACAAGTCTAAATATGAAATCGTTATAAGCTCAGTTCCAGCCAAATCTTCATAAAGTAATTGCAAGTTGCCGGAAATTTGCATATAGAAAGAATCTTGGTTTGAAATAAAGATGAATGCACTACACTTTCCAAATCCCTTGAAACACTGAAATAAATCAGACATTGATAATCTCAAGGAAAATTGCAGTGTTGAACACATATTTTTGCAATATCCATGAAGTTTATCATGTGTGAAGTGAAAAGAACTATTGTTTCAATAATCATTGTAATTTGGGTTCGCGTGAAATCACATGGAATGAAATGTGGCAGTTACTTCGAAATCTTCGAACTTGAACAATTCGACTACATGTCACACAAAAGAATATCTTTTCTGCTAGTAACACCTATAGATCAACCAAATAAAATGTAGCAGTCAATCAACCAATTTACCATTGAGGCAAATGCTGCACAAGAAGCCGAGTGCCCGGCTGGGTGACCAGAATATGTTTTCAGTTGCCCGGGACCAAATGTTAGTCATCATCATTGTCATTTTTTTTTTTAATTTGTTTGAGCAGGTTGAATTTATGGCAGCTATATAGCTGACGTGGACCTGCTATTTTCCCACCCATCCCACTCCAGGGGAGGGCATCCATCGCACGGTGATCTCGTGCGTGGGAAATTAACGTCTCCTGCTCCTAACCCTGCAGGAGATGGGACCTCCATTTATTCATCCCTATCTGAGAAGACTAGAATATCTAACCATTTCTTAATGTTAACATTTGAGAAAGGTAGAATATTCTTCTTAATCATTTTAAGACCTTGAGTGTTGGTCTGGCCAGGGCTTGAACCCTCTACCTCCCGCACAACAGTCCAGCGCTCTATCCATTGAGCTAACCAGGAGGCGGTTAGCTCAATGAACCCTCGCCCGAGGTGACCGGGTGCCGCTAGAGCACAGCCTTGCATGTGGGTTGAGTTTATTGTTGGTTCTTGTTCTTGCTCCGAGGGTTTTTCTCCGGGTCCTCTGGTTTTCCTCCCTTTGCAAAAACCAACATTTCAAATTCTGATTCGATCGGGAACCAGTGGACAAGAAGAGCCACCCAGTAGAATGTCCATTGCTAAATTACTATTTATTTTATTTATTATTTGAAAGGGTTAGGACACAGAGATTTAAGCCAACACTTATAAATGCCATTTCTTACTTTTGAAATGCGGGATTTCTCTTCATATGTTCATCTAAAATGCCATCTTCATCTTCTATATGTTCTAACTGTTTAACTGATACAGGACATGGAGTTCTGAAAATAAAACAAACATTAAGATACAGCAGAAGAATAATCATACTTTTGTAAAGGTCACTTTATATGGACTTGACTCTCAGGTGCCAAAATTTAAACATAGGTTTGAGACAACCTCATACGGTAATTCCAGAAAAACTGTTTCATCACTGAGTCAAGATCACAAAAATAATTCAAACTAAATAAGTATTATTACTCATTTGGAAAGTTGTAACTTGATTACTGCCATTTAATAAAATTCTGGCCAAAGCTACAAATTCATACTAAGGAACTCTTTCACTCAAACTTGAAGAGAAACAAAATCTTGATTGTTGAAGGAGAGCTGATATTTCTGGCTAACATTACCTTCCAAGGAGGAATAAGCCATCATTGACTTGCTGCAGAGCAGTTTGAGCAGAGTTTTTTCTAGAAAACTCGACAATACCATGTCCTTTAGATTTCCCTCTATCGTCACAGACAACAATGGCTCTCTCAACATCACCAAACTGTGAAAAAGCCTGATGTAACAGCTCATTTGTGACAGCAGGACCAAGATTTAGTACTTTCAGAGCAGCTGCATGTTGTGCAAACCGCACTCGCAAAGTTCTTCCATTTCGATATTGGTTATCAACAGCTTGTTTAGCAGCTTCTGCATTCAGACGTGTATCCTGTTGAGAAAATGAGGTCTTGAGAATCAAAGACTTCACTTGAGAAAGTGAGGTCTTTGATTTTTTAAAAACAAAGACCCCACTTTGTTTTTAAAAAATCATAATTAATTTTTGCCTACTCTTGAACTCTGATTAAGTATCTGAGGAATACTCCTGTATAACTCCCAAACTATTTGTCTTCCAGTATTCTTCCTGAGAATAAATTTCATGAAAAGATGTTGATGTTTGTCCTCTTTGTTGCAAGCAACCACTAAAAATTGCCTCCCTGTCAACATATGTGGGTTCATAGCTCACTTGGTAGTAGCACTTGACCATGTAGTGACTGGGGGTAGGAGCTCAAATCCTGTGAAAGCTTTGAATTTTCAAGGTTCTTTACAAGTAGTAAGATTTTAAGATAAAAATATATTGTTAAGTGTACCACTTGAGTTACAGCCTATTTAAATAAATGTGAATATACAGTAAATGCGAAGTCTTGTCTCACATTTTAGCAATAATTCATTGCAAGGTGCGTTTACGTTCAAAACAAGCATTTTAATTTCCAGATGTACGAAAAAATAATCCCAATAAATACAATATGTATATATATATATATATATTATCTATAGAAACGATTTCGAGACACTGGTAAGGAAGAGGCAAAATTAAAAGCAAATATATATCTACCTTTGTTCCTCCTTCCCTTGTGTTGGAAATTGCTTCCTCGAGCATCGTATTATCCCCAAATTCTAAAATACTGCGTCCCTGAGTTTATATTAATATTTCAATATCAAAGAATTCCTTTCTAGTAATACTAACCAGTCTCACGAAACCAAATCCTTTATCCTTGTTAACAAAAACCTCAGCCACCTCTCCATACTTCTCAAACATATCCCTTAGCTCCTTCTCGTCGCAGTTGGTCAGGTTTCCCACGAAAAGCCTGCATCTTCCGGAAAACTTTCTCTCTTTACTTTTATGTGATGAATTCCAATTGCTTGCACCACTGCTTTTAGAGGCTGGCGATTCTGATGGCTTTCGGAAAGGCTTCTCATTTGGTTTAGAGCTTGGGGAAGCCGAAGAGTCGGTGTTCTTGTTGGTGCTATTTTCGGAGCCTTTATCGGTTTTAATTGTGATAAGCTCACGAGAATTCGGTTTTGATGAAGTCGACGTCCTCCTCGGTGATCTCGATCGAGAGCGAGACGCCGGCATGCCGTAGATTACCTCTGAAAAAAGGGTTTGGGAAGAAGGAACAACCGGCTGGCTGTGTGCAAGATGGCGTCGAATAAAACAAATACCACGTGGTCGATATCTCCCACAATCCTTTGAGTAGTCACGAGGAAAGTTGAGTTACATAACTCGATATGGCGGCGGAGATAGCGTTGAAGTACGTAGCACGGGGTTAAAGTAAATTACAAATAAGCTTGTGTTATACGTGTTAGTGGTATAGTTATGAAATTAATATATTTTCCTGAAATAACGTCATTTTGAACAGAATCGCACCTGTGCTGGAAGATCGGGAGCGCAACTCAGAACTTGATCATGGGCCAGACGAGCTGTTTGCAAGTGATGACGAAAAGGTATGATTTACATGCACGTGAATACGGATTCTTGTGAAATAGGTAGTTATGAAACGCCATTGAGACTAAGTTAATATTGATTTTCACCCTTTGACGATTTCAAGCGGTCGGGTAACTAGATTACCCACTAATGTCTTTATGTTTCGCCTGAATGCGCGACGAAAGGCGAGCTTGCAAGCTATCGTGATGTTGTGGAATTCATGTCAGCCACGTGTAAGGGATAGTCGAAAAGCAAAAGTATTTTGAGCTATTGTCGATGGAAAGAAAGTGTCAATACATTTAGTTAAATTAACATGGAAATGTCAAGAATTTATGTTCGGAATACAGCATCTACCCAACGAAACGTTTTGCATCAATATTACAGATTGAGATAGGAATGAAATTGAGATCCTTCGGATTTCCTTGAAACTGATCCCCCCAAGTTGATCTTAACAAACAAAACCCTTAGCCACCATGAGAGACCACGATAGAATTTCTCCTTAAAAATCAGTGTAATATCAACCAGACAAGTAATGAGAAAAAAGAAAAATATCAATTATGGGATTAGATACAATGAAAAATATATGAAGTTCATATATTTTGAACTGCGGTATTAGATACATATGATGCACGATACTCGCAGTAGATAGCGCTATTTAAGCAATAGCGAAAATCAGAAAATCAAACCAAAAAAAAATCAGGCCTGTACGGGATTCGAACCACTGACCTCTGGGATACTAGTGCAGCGCTCTACCAATTGAGCTAACAAGCCAGCTGGGAGCAGGCCGTTAAGTTGATTCGTAATAAACCTGTGAAAGTGATAAATCAGATACAATGAAAAATATATGAAGTTCATATATTTTGAACTGCGGTATTAGATACATATGATGCACGATACTCGCAGTAGATAGCGCTATTTAAGCAATAGCGAAAATCAAAATATATGCAGTTCAAAATACATGAACTTCATATATTTTTCATTGTATCTGATTTATCACTTTCACGGGTTTATTACGAATCAACTTAACTGCCTGCTCCCAGTTGGCTTGTTAGCTCAATTGGTAGAGCGCTGCACTAGTATCGCAGAGGTCAGTGGTTCGAATCCCGTAGAGGCCTGATTTTTTTCAGGTCTGATTTTCGCTATTGCTTAAATAGCGCTATCTACTGTGAGGATCATGCATCATATGTAATTATGGGATTAATAGTTGATCCAATACCAAATTCTCCAAACTAACATCTTAAGAATTGTATGGCAGACATTAACAAGAATTGCTATTTTAAGTGAAATCTTGGGAGTGAAAGGGATAACTGAAGCTAATTGTGGCAAATTATTGTTTCTCGTGTAAATTAGTTCTAAGTTACATTTACTTCAAAGTTTTGATTTTTCCATGTTCTTCTAATTGCTCAGAAGGATAGTGGAGATGAAGAGAAATACGAAAAGCTCCTTAAGGAAATCAGATCGTTATCATCGAGTGGGAAAAAGAGGTATGTACACTTCAATTATTTCTAAAAACAAAATTGTTCGTTTCAGGTTCTCTTCAGGTCAAATGGGCTGTTGCTCTTCCTCCTTTTCATTGTCCACTTAAAAGCATGGAAAGAAACCTGCTAAGTTTGCTCTGAACTTATCTTATAAACCTTTAGGTGATGCTAGGAACCAAGGGTTACTATGACTGACCAAAAGCTGAAACTATTGCAAATACAGTACCTTGGAAAGAGGGGGGGAAAAAGGTGGTCTGAAAAGGAAGTCATCCTGTTACCAGAATGCATATATGGGCAGTTTGTTTGAGAGATTTCACTTGCTGGTGAATGAACCTTCTAGATTTGGTGGCTGGTTCTGGTAGAAAAGTAAACTAAAGAGATTGTTTAGAAAGAGTGGTTAAAGCATACATTTGTTTTATTTTATTACAAAGTTTTGTTGTCTGCTCCAGGAACATCAAATATTTCATCTTTTTACAAATATTTACAAAATAATTTGTCTTGACTGACTCAGGGTTGCATCACAGCGATCAGAGCCCCACAAACAGGTGTCAGAGTTTCATCTCAGCTCTGTTAAAGGTGATTATGAAAATTGATCATTACCATGAATTCATTCCAAGACCCTCTTTCCTACTATGACTATCTAGTTTTTTAAGAAAATGTTGATTTCCTTTTCTTTTAGAAAGCTACATGTTCAAGTGCTCAGAAACTTAAGAGTTAATTGTTTGTGTGATTGTTTGAGTATTATATACTGATACAATGCAGTACATTTTTCTTTTCAGATAGCACACAACAAGTTGATCTAAATGATCTTATTGGGTCTTTGAACAACTCTAACGAGTATGGCAGCCTGAAGAAAAAGTTGGTGAGAAAATTGCTAGAATTTTTTAGTCATTTTTTT